ATATAGGCTCTAAAATCTCATGGCTCAGTTTGAACTTCCGAGAAATTTCTTGAAAATCATTAAACAAGTTTTTTTTTTTTTTTTTAAATTTCAAGTTACTTAAATTAAAACTTTAAATTTCAGTTTAATCTTAACGGACTGCGAATTTCACTAAGAACTAAAGCTTTAACAGCTGGAGTTCTTTTTTTAAAGTAAAATTCTTGTCAAGTAAAAAGTAAGAATGCAAAGATTAATAAAGTAAAGATTGAATGTAAGGATTAAAGTAAAGATTAATAAATAACAATAACTGTTTTGTTACTGAATGATAAATGTGAATGCTTCTATTTAATATTACATAATGCTGATTCATATTTCACCAAGTTCGCAAAATTAATAGTCTAACTTATTGAAGATTCGGTTTCTGTGAAAGAAACAACGAATGGCATATGAAACTGTTTCCGTATTTCACTTGGTTCCAAGGAAAAAAATATTGTTGGGTAGCTTTTGAATAGACCTTTTGGGCTATACAAATAGGTGGTTTGGGGGTATGATGCATTTAGTCTTACCAATCATAGAAAACGATGCATTTCCATATTAACTTTTTAAAATCTGTACTTCTTCATCTACTAAGTGCAAACGTAGTTATAAGTCCATCGGCACATATTTGAAAAATCGAAACTCAAAGTTTGAGTGAAGTTTGTATGAAAAGTTTCAATGAAAAATACAATCATTAATATATAAAATCAGAGGTACCAATTTATCATGTCAAATCGCAGTCCGATGAATGCTTACATTTTCAAATAATTTTTACTATTTCAAAATGAAATAACACAAATGAAGATTGAAAATATATGCACACTGCTTAGAAGTGTTTTATTAAAATTATATATTTTTAAGCTTTATATCTTTGAAAAAGTGGTTATTTCTTAAAAAGGAATATAAAATATTTTATCCTTCCTTTCTGTATTCCCTTCTTAGTGTAACGGTAGCACACTCGGCGCGTATTTGAGATTTCCAGATTCGAGTCCCGGCGAGAGCATTTTCATATATCACATCTTTTGTTTCAAAAATACCTAATTTGTCTACAGTGGCGCCCAGACTAAAAGGTAGTTAATGATGATTCTTCACTGATATTTGGCGATTGGGTTCAATAATCCCCAATCGCCGTTTAATAGGGACTTCTCCCTCCTTTTGGCATGCCTTCATGGTGTAATTGAAGCATACTCCGCGCGTATTAGAGAGGTCCAGATTCAAATCCTGGCGAGGGCATAGCACATTTTTCACATATTTTCTGCTTCAAAATAACCTAATGATTCTACAGGAAGAGCGCCCACCAGCGGCCGAGCGGTAAACTCGCTGAACACTGGTAGTTCGGTTCGAGGTTCGAATCCCGCGAACGGGCTGGCTGCATGGGTGGTTTCGTGGTTTTTCCCACGTGTAACGTGCATACGAGCCAGTTTCCCTTAGAAAGTCCTCCACGAAGGCATCCATTTCCTTAGGCCGATAGCCCTCGAGGCTTTGCCGTAATTAAAATAACCTAACCTACAGGAAGAGCATTTAATAATAACTAAATTATTTTATTTGAAATGTGTAAAGACCTTCTCTGTTATTTTATTAGGAAACTAAAAAAAAATGCATTTTGTTTGAAGAAAAACTTATTGACAGGCACCTATAAAATTTTTCGAGGCAAGCAGAATTAAATACATATGTCTGATGGAATGTTAGATTTATAATTTTAGATTATGAGAAAAGCGTGTATAAGAAAATATTAACAAACACTAAAGATGGAGTATTACGAATCAAATAAGAATTTTGAATCAAAGGCGATTAGATGTGGCACGGTTTTTATAAAATTAATAATGAAGCAAATTAGTGGAAACGTGCTAACCAAATATATTTAATGACTAATATATGTACAGACAAAGGGTTTTTTTTCCTAGGTATTAACAAATGCATTTGTGATTGTTTTGCATAATATTTCAGAATGCTGAGGTAATTTATAACATTTCGCTTTATTTATTTATTTATTTATTTTTTTGCCTTAAAATAAAGCGTATCTGAAAATAAAAAATATCGGATTAAAAATATCAGTTCAGTACAACCAAGGTATGTAGACTGTGTAATTATTTTCATGTGAAACAAGTTGTCAAGCATTTTTTTGTAATATAATATACTTTCCTACGTGAAGTTAGCCAGATATAAAATTAAGAAATAAAACGTCGTAGGTATGAGAAAGGCTGTCATTTATTTTTGTAATAATTGGAAACAATTATATTGTAACGTTAAATATATTTAGCTATTAATTTAAATGTGTTTATTTTTATTTACAAGAATTTTTGTTTTCCGCGTTTGCTCGAAGTCCTAGAATATAAAGAAGAGGTAACACTTGCTATTTTTCAAAAGCTACGACTTGCATTGCAGTTAAAATTTAATAAAAATTAATCGTCGCTATTAGCGACATCGTAAAAATTCAAATATCGAAATATGTACTATAGCGAAGATAATTTTCAGCTACTTTCTAATCCGGCTCTAGATAGCACAGCTTCTAGCTTGCATATTAATGAGTGCAATATCATTTACAAGACCCAAATCACCGTGCAAATCCAAATCAAGAGTAAAAAACAGTTTGTGGAAAGTTACCACAGCTTGTTGTATAAATAACAATTTCACTGGCTATTTAAACTCAAAATAATGGGCATTCTGTGAGACTAATGAAAGAAAGAGAAGATACAGGAAAGAATTAACATAAAACAGCATGCCAGCTTTAATAAATTTGACAATATAAGAAAAAATTTTGTGTTTAAGAAAGGTAGCAATGGTTAAGAAAATATAGTCGTATAAAACATATTAATACAATTTTTAAACGAAGGAGGCAACATAGTATATGAAACCTATCAACACAGGATCAGCAAAAGCAGTTAATCTTTTTTTTACTTGTGTGCGTGTGTGTGTGTTTTCATTTACGAACCGATTTTCACGTTACGTTATTTGCAGTTCTTACTTTCTGTTAGCGTATTCTCAGTAGTTTAAAAAATATAACCAAATTATTATGTTTTAATTTAAAAGTCGAAATTATGTTCATTTTTGTAAACAGAGAAAGAATGTGATACGAAATAGCAACAGATTTAAAAGAATAATAAAATCTTTTCTTCTCTTTTTATCTATCCTGCGTTTACCATAGCTTCCTATTCTTAAAAAAATATCAGTTCTATTCAGAAACGTTTGTCGGCCCACCAGCGGCCGAGCGGTAAAGTCGCTGAACACTGGTAGTTCGGTCCGAGGTTCGAATCCCGCGAACGGGCTGGCTGCATGGGAGTTTTCGTGGTTTTCCCCATGTGTAACGTGTATACGAGCCAGTTTCCCTTAGAAAGTCCTCCACGAAGGCATTCCTCCCCTTAGGCAGATAGCCCCTAGTGTGCTTCGCCATAATTAAATACACCACACCAGAAACGTTTGTCAACCTTTGCTGTAAAGAAAAAATAAAATCCTTGTACTTTTATTTATGATAATTTTCCTGAAAATATATTTCTTAAGAGTTTATTCTATCAGCTCAATAAGCTTAAATTATTTATTGGGTTTTATGACAAAACTGCTAAGCTTATTCATCTATCATTTTATTCCATGCTGCAAAATGTCTACAGTAGTTTTCAAACCTTATATTTCGTTATAAAAATATTAATAGTAAAGTATTTACTGCCGAAATTTAATTTTTATGCTTCATCAAATAAATATCCTAGCCTGTTTCTTTCTTTAAAACTTGTTGTAGAAAATTAGATTTTTGAAGGTCGATTCTTAATTATTCTTGAAAACTTTCTCATCTTACCGTGAAATTCGATTAACAAACTTAAGTAGATTTTCTTAAACATCAAAAATGAGAAAATACCCTATAATTAACGGTAAAGGCTTTAAATTTGATATAAAAAGATTTATGTACTCGAAAATTAGATTGCAGTGAGAAATTTTGTTATTTTATTCGACCTATAGAAGCTCGAACAAAACATAAGGCATAAACGCTCTTGGTTCAATAAGGGCTTGTGTTTTGCCGAAAATCGACACTAGAAGAGAATTACCAGCGTGATATTATTTCTATCATTTACTACCTCACATGATTTAGGTAAAATAGGCTAGTGGTTTTATTGAATAACCAGTGCTTTCAAAATGCGTTGGAACGATGGTTCTTCACGAGAGCTCATGCGGCTCTGGTGTGAGAGAAGCTTTTAAGACATTCGATGTAAACAACCGCCTGACCACTTGGGTGAATCTTGGAATAAAGTTTGCCTGTATGAGCCGGAAGGAAGTGCGAGTGCCGTGCTGTCAGGACGTGTATTTGTCGCTCCGCCGTTTTGCCTAATATCAGCGGAAGTTCTCCTCAACGTACCGCTGTAAAATTAGTTGCTACGTGTAGCTAACATCATCAGGAGTACACTTATATAAAAATTGTGTCACTACGACATTTAGTCGTTTTTTTTATGGAACTTCAAAGTTTTTAACACTATCATTCACGACTTGGAGCCATTTTCGCCGTGTTCCTCAACTTCGCAGCCCGTGGATACACCGACGGACGTCGTAGCAGCCGGATTTTTACATAGCCGGATAGAGGATCATCTCAGCAGTATTTTGATATAAGTTTTATCAAGATTGGATAATTGGTTGAATAATTATGCAGAAATTACTCATTTAATTTAGCGCTTTTTTCGCTCACGCTGCATTTTCGACCGTTAGGTGCCACCGTCCCCCCCCTCGGGGTAGCGCGTTTTCGTCAAGGACATTCGCAACGGCTTTCCTTTTATGAAGTGGACACTTTATTAGCTGCCTGCTAATTAATTTCCTAATTGCTGTATCATGCTGGAATAAACGGCAATCTTCATCATCTATCTTCAGAAGCAGAAGTTTCAAATTTTGGTCGTGATCGGCCCACTGGTTCCAAAGATATAATTTTTTCGACATTTATTAACTTAGAATTTTCAAGCTGCAAAATTGCGTAGTTTGACTTCCTATTACAGTGCAGTGTTGTGTTTCAGTGTCTATGTGCCTTTGGATTACTATGGAATACCTTTATACAGATGAAGGACAGATGAAATACTGCTGCCAAGGTAAGAAAATTTGACTTTTTCCTGTATTCCAGATAGAAATATAAAAATTCAGCACCAAACGCAGTACTGTACAGAAAAACTTAGATCCTTTCCCATACGATGAGTGACACAGATTCCTCCACTTACTCGAGAGAATTTGCTTTGCAAACATTCATTACCTCGGACATAAGCTATACTGAGAAGATTGATAAACTCACTGACGAAATTAAAAAGATCGCAACTTCCTTTCGAGGTGGCAAAAATATTCTACCCCTAGGCTTGCGAAAGCAACTGATAGACACGGTTGAAGCCTTCCGAATTCTGGCTTTGGGAGTATCTGAGTATATCCCACCTCCGGATACCGTCGATAAAGCAGTCAACACATCCAGTATTTTCGCGTGTGAACTAGCAAGTCAACAGCAACACATCACAGCTGCACCTAATCTAGCGCAAAAGGCAACAGACAATCGAAAGTCCTACGCAAGTGTAACGGCGCAAAAGCCTAAACACACCTTGCTGATCTACCCTAAAGACCCGTCCACAACATCCAGGAAAGTGTTAAAAGAAAAATTGACTGCTGAATTTCCGTTACCCACATTGGGAGTTCAAGTAGCAGCATTAAGATACATCCCGCAGGAAGGACTTGCAGTGGATTGCCATACAAAGGAGGACATTCACGCACTCTCGGAAAAAACTGCAGACTGAAAAGGCTAAAGAATTCTTGCAAACCAAGATCCCAAGCACAAGGCTTCCCAGGGTTGCTATACACAATATCCCATTAAGCGTTACACAGGAGGAACTTGGACGAGTCATCAGTTTAGAACTCCATATTAACAAGAATAATGCCAAAATCCTGTACAGGCTCAAAGAAAGGAGTAACACAGTCAAGTGGATTGTCGAATGTAATCCCGATGCCTTCCAACAACTCATGCGCTCCAGAAAACTACTCATCGGCTGGCGGGCACATCGAATCTCAGAGTACTTCAACACTAAGAGGTGCTACCGCTGTCAAGCATTTGGCCATACCCAGCAGGGATGCCAAAATAAAATCTATTGTGCATACTGCTCGGGGAATCATGCAATCAAAGACTGTCAAGCCAGACGAGCCACATGCATCAACTGTGCAGACAGTAACTACCGCAACCGAGACAATAAAGCTTGCGACCATCCAGCATATGATGTTGCCTGTCCAACATACACGAGATACGTCGAACGGATCAAACGCAGCACTATCTATGAATAGTCTATCTGCTACTAATGCTAACAACAACACGCCTGTAATCCAATCTAATAATAACAATAATCATATGCAGATTCTCTCTCCACATACTATACCTCCATCAAGCAGGAACATAGGTACACTAAGCACAAGTATCATCAAATGCCTGCAAATCAATCTTCAAAGGGCTGAGGCAGCAACATCTCATGTCCTCACGCAAGTTATTTCCAACGACATAGACCTCGTAATCATGCAGGAACCATACTGTAGAGAAGGTCACGTCGCTAGCTTACCTATTGCATGGAAAATATACCAAAAGGAGTCCCCGACGGCAGATCTTGCTCCTAGAGTAGCAATTGCCTGCTGCAACCCCGCATGGACACCACAAGTCATCAAGCTGCATAGGGATTATGTCGCCATTCTAATCATTTTTGAAAATATGCAATTTATCCTTACTTCGGTGTATTCACCACCAACAGATGCAATTGGCAGCACTGTCGCCCACATAAGCGAAACAAGTAGAAAATTTCCAAACACAGCTCAAGTCATAGGAGGCGACTTTAATGCCCATCATATTATATGGGGGTATAGTACCACAAATCCAAAAGGGCAGGAGCTTGAAGATTATATTGCGGCAAACAATTTACAATTGCACAATACAACGAATGCACCACCTACATTCGATAATTCGTACAATCAAGGATGGCCAGACTTAACGATCTCAACTTATGATATTGCTAACAACATACATTCATGGCATGTCTCAGACTCTGAAAGTTGTTCAGATCATAAATACGTAGAATTTACTATACAAACAGATACCACCATTTCTATAATTAAACGCTATAGGCTGCCAGGTAACAAGGTTAGACAATTGACCCAGGCCTTTACTCGTCTCCTGCAAGCAAAAGAATTGCAGCTAGAATCTTGCAACAACTCAGAACACCTTGATTCCCTTGCACAAGGACTTCTAGAGGAACTTAATGAAATATGTCAACAAATTTTACCCCTCCGTACAACCAAGAAATTACAAGGAATCTCTTGGTGGACCGGCGAACTAAGGCAACAAAGACAAAAATGCAGAGCTTTGCGCCGCAGACTAAGAGGCAACGTGGACGGAGAGACCAAAGCACAGATTCTGACTACATACCGGCAAGAGCGGGCTAAATATAAGAAGAATATTCTCGCTGCAAAAGTGACAAGCTGGCGTACCTTCTGTAACAACAATACGAATCCCTACGGGATCTTACATAAGATTGCAACACAGAAGGTATTCAAACCAGCACAAATTCATGCACAGGTTCCAACAGCTAGTCTTTCAACAAACCCAGCGGGGTTTACAGCTGCCACCCTTCTTGACGAAATTTTTGCAAAGGACAATCCGCATGAAGATACACTGGAACAACGTGCAGTGCGAAACAATACAACTATCCCAGATACGCCAGATGATTATGCTTTCTCAGCAAAAGAAATCGCTCATGTATTTCGCTACCTACCCCTGAAAAAAAGCCCCAGGACCGGATGGCCTGGACTATTCAATAATTAAAGTTGCATATAAAGCCAATCCAGATTTCTTCACTAAATTCTTCAATAAATTACTTCAGGCAAAGCTCTTCCCAACCGTATTTAAGAAGGGACAGGTAGTCTTGTTCTTGAAAAAATTCAAAAATCCAGCTGAACCGCGGTCTTACAGGCCAATCTGCTTGTTGTCTGCACTGGGCAAAGTGTATGAAAAGCTGATTGTCAATCGACTTCGTCATCATCTGCACAAGACCAAATATCTAAGTGTCAGACAATTCGGTTTCCGCATAGGATCTTCCACCGTTCAAGCCCTTTCAACAATCAAGGATTGCATCCAGAAGAATAGAAATGATAATATGCATACGGCTTTCATTTCGATTGACCTGGCCAGCGCATTTGATACTCTGTGGTGGCCAGCAATCAAACAAGCTTTACGCAATGCAAAATGCCCGACCAACCTTTATCTAACAATCACAAGCTACTTACAAGATCGTATGTTAATAATGTCCCACGATGCAGGTGTTTCATCCAAAGCCCAAGTGAGAGGTTGCCCGCAAGGCTCTTGCGCGGGGCCCCTCCTATGGAACATCACATTTAACGAAGTGCTCGCTGCAGACTGGCCCGCACACACGCGAGTTGTCGCCTACGCAGATGATGCTGCACTCCTGGTGCGAGGACGCACACGCAACGAACTGGAGAAAAAAAACGGCACAGAAGTCTGCACACTTTTTGCTGACTACTGCACTCGACTTAAGCTTCAAATATCAACAGAAAAGTCAACAGCGTTGATCATTCCAAGGCCAGGAACAAATCCAACACGACGGCCCTGTATTAAATTAAACGGGAGAAATATTAAGTTCGTTAAAAATCTTAAATATCTAGGAGTAACATGGGACTCCGGTCTAACCTTTATTCCTCATATACAAGACCTTCGTGTTAAAACATCTCGAATAGCGAGAACAGCGCGCCAATTTCAGGGCAAGAATTGGGGTCAGAGCCCCCATTTTCAGAAACTGTTATATCTCACAGTTGCAGAGAAAATCGCATTATATGCAGCCCCAATCTGGGCAAACCCAATGGGAGCCAGGAAAATCCGTCAACTATCAGCCTTGCAAAGACCTTTTGCGATAAACCTATGCAAAGCATATCGAACTACAGCCACAAATGCAGCACAGGTACTAGCTGGTATCATACCACTGCATATCAAAGCCTTAATGGAATCTGCATATGCCCAACTGATCCACTTGCGCCGAGATGCGACATTTGGAAACACTACCTATAGCCCAGTCCAATATGAGCATCGGGGCGACGTATTGCGTACACATCCCTCAATAAAAGGGACAGGCATACGCACAGTTAAATCCAACTGCCTTCATCGAGACACCCTCACGAAGATATACACGGATGGCTCGAAGCATGAACATGGAGTAGGTAGTGCCTTTATACACTATGATGGTTCCAACACCGAATACACATGGAAAGGACATCTGAAACCGGAAAACAGCGTCTTTCAGGCGGAAGTTACTGCTCTCACAGCAGCGGTACAGCATATACTCAACAACAATATACAGGCAGCTACCATATACACGGACAGCCTTTCAGCAATAAATGCAATAGAAAATCAACACCATGTATCGCCGAGCATCATTAACTTGCAAGACATCCTGCAGCATAATCGTCACACTAAAATTACCATGGTCTGGGTCAAAGCCCACGATGGCAACCAGGGAAATGAAGCAGCTGACCGTTTGGCTAAGGATGCTGCAAGCAATCTCGAAGCACAAGAAATAAATATTCCTGCCCCACCATCCTATCTAAAGCGTCATTTGCAGGGACAAGCAATACGACAATGGCAAGAAGAATGGACTAATGCAGAAACAGGGAGGCGCACCTATGAGCGTATTTCAAAGGTATCAACTGACCGCCTTATCGCCATTGCTCCATTGGTAAACTACATAACAGGTCACGGGCCGTTCCCGTCTTATTTTCATCGACATGGGATATCAAATACAGACATCTGTGTCTGTGGAGAAGACGGAACGCCAGACCACTACCTATTCAGGTGCCCTCTGACAGATACCATGCATCTTTTCATGCCCACGAGCAACATAACTAACTGCCTACCACCGACTGATAATTAAGCACAAGGGAAGCATTAATGCAATATGTAAAATTATAAAATTTATCGCGGCACTAGGTCAGGATATCTGCCAGCCCATTTAATCAACATAAGGTTTTCCACTGCATTTATCCAGGAAACTACAATTTACACACTCATACCTTATATCTTATACCTAAACAGAACTTAAAACTGGTTTGAGAACTCTTGCACAATAGCAAAAAATATTTAATGAACTTTAACGCTGTCATGTGTCCTTATTAGTTCTATACAAGCACAGTATTATGTGCTTTTGTCAGTATTATAACGACTCTGTAGCATGCCTTCCTATAAGCATCATATCAGCTCTCTGTATCATATGTGTCTATTAGCACTTATTACTCATATACTATCATATGTATCTTTGTCTACCTTAATATTTATTTGCACAATGTGTTTTATTCGTATTATATCTGCTTTGCTATTAGTATCATATCAGCTCTGCACCATGTATATTTATTGGCATCATATTTACTTTTGTACCAAGTGTATTTACTCGTTCTTCACCTGTACTGCATCTACTCAGCACCATGTCATTTAATTAGCTCTATATTTGTTCTGCATCATGTATATTCATTAATATCATATCTGTCCTGCATCAAATGATTTTAATCGTACTATACCTGCTCAGCGGCATGTGGCCCCCCCCTTTTTTTTTTTTCTCATATCTGATTTGCATCATACGTGTTCATTAGAACTTAAACTGCACTGCATAATGTATTTTCATGTATTTCTATTAGTATTATATCTGCCCTATGTCACGTTTTTAATTAGCTCTATATTTGCTCTGCATCATGTGTATATACCAGCATCATACCTGGTCTGCATAAAGTACCCTAATATTTATTTGTATCATATGCTCCTATTTGTACTATATCTGCTTTGCATCATGAGTTTCTATTAGTATAACATATGCCCTGTACCATGTGTATCATATTCATGCTTGCATCATGTGTTTCTCATTAGTATTATCTCTGTCCTGCATCATGTGCTTTTAAATAGCATCATCTCTGCCCAAAGTCATGTGTTTTTATCAGTATTATAGTTGTCCTGAATCATGTCTTTTATTTAGCTCTATATTTGCTCTGCATAATGTGTATATACTATTAACATATTTGCTCTGCATCATGTACTCCTATCATGTGTTAGCCTAGGTTCATTGTCTCCCCATAAGTATTATTACTCATATACTACCATCTGTTTCATATGTAAACCAAAAGTTCATTGCTAATAATTATTTGCAACTTATGTTATTATCTGTCTTAAAACTGCCCTGCATCATGTGTTTTAATTAGTATACGCGCGTGCTTTATATCTGGCAATGTTACACGCGTGCTTTATATCTGGCATGCACCATGTGTTTTCACTAGTATCGCAGCTTTATCTCTGCTCTGCATCCTGTGATCTTACCAGTTTTATTACACGTTTTTATATGTCACATAGTATTACATCTGCCCAGCATTATATGTTCTAACAGCATCACATGAATGCATTATTAGTACTCTACTTAGTAGTCTGTGAGTATGTTCTGTGTATTTTAAGTGTGTTGTTATGTGTATTATGTCTTACATTATTATGCCACCTCCACCACCCCCCCTTTTTTTTTTCCTAGATTTTCTGTAACCACTGTAATCCTAAAACTTTCAAATGTCATACACATCACTTGTAATGTAGACTATGTCAACCGCCCTTGTATGGCCATGTAACTTTCTCATTAAGATTCAAATATACTCCCGAGGCAGCATGATGAGGCTCCAGGGAGTTGTTGCCACTAGATAGTGGAGGACGCGGGGCATATGCCTGTTTACCTATGTTAAACATCAGGCGCCCTCGTCCTCCGTCACCTGTCACCTGTATGATTCTTCATATGTTTACTTTTGGGATAATGTTTATAATAAAATTAGGACACAGAGGAGTTTCCTGAATTTCCTGAAATAGGTACCTGAAAGTAAGAGTATGGAAAAAAATACGAATTTTATAAAAAGAAGACTTAACATCTCATTTTATAAAAAGAAGACTTAAAATCTTATTTCATAAAAAGAAGACTTAAAGTCTTCACAAAGTGGGGGACACGGAATATTTCTCTTTAAATATGAATATCCACGAAAACAGAAAATCAGGGATTCCGTTTTCCTCTTCTACTTATTACATCTACACCTACACACACAAACACACACACACACACATACATACATACATATATATATATATATATACAAATACTTTTACTTTCAACATAAAAATTTATCGACAGATTTATTGTATTATATTTATTTCTTGTTCTGTTCTCATCTGCGGAAACATCAAGGAACTGTTTTGCATCACCAGGTTTCTGTGGAACTCCATTCGAAAAACTATGCACATACCCGTATTTCCGAAAAGGAAATCATTAATTTTGATTCTTATGCTCCTTGATTGCAAAAATTGAGTACGAAAGCTGTGTTAAAATTATTACGAAAATTGCGTACGGAAGTTGTAAAAACTGAGTACGAGCAGTTGAATACGAAATAATTAAAGAGGAAGTATTTCATATACTATTTTGGAATTTTATTTTTGAACATCCTTTATTCAACTACTGTAACTATACTGTTCTTACAATTCGACTGAAGCCGCTACGCCGACTTGCGAAATGTTTAGTCTGTCACTGGAATGGAATCCGGGAAGAAATCACCAGTGACATCTCTTGGCCACAAGTCCACACTGATGATGCATAAACATCACGTCTTACAATGAGCATTCCGCAAAACGAAATTGGAAAGGGCCACGTTACAAACCGCACGCAAGTAATGTCACACAGTTTTAATATATTAAAAGCACAGCTGCATTTGTTTTAGTTTCTAACAAGGCAATGCGTAAACGGACAAGCACATGGAAATCTAAATATGCCTAAACAAACAGAGCAAGCATAAAAGCAGTGATAAAATATATTTCGTGGTGTTTTATTACTACTGAAGACTTCTAAGCCCTTCTTGAATAGAAGCATGAGGAAGTTCAGCCGAGGAAGAAGATATAAATGATAAAACACTGCTAGTGAAACGGACAGTGGTTCACACCAGAGACTAGGAGTAACATCCCAGTCAAGCTGTCAATAGAGTGGCAGATTGAATGAATGAAACCATCACGTGATATTTTAAAGGCATCCTGAAGAAGAGGAAGGCAATGCCTTCAGACATCTTCTTGAAATCTGTGACTTACAAAACACTAACAGCAGATAAGAAAAAAGTCTAGAATAGCTGAATCTTCTACTTGTAAGAGTGTAATCGAAGAATGGGTGTATAACACAGTAAAAGAAATAGAAAATTGTAAGATATTTTATGTAAGTTGTGTATGTTAAAATTTTCTATAATGAATATATTAATAAATTCCTAGTGTTTCTAACATTAGTCTCTGAATTGTTTTATGACGTTTCTCAATTTCGGACTGAGCTCAAGGGCAGGTTAAAATTATTTCTAGAGTTTAGGAAACAGCATTTCGCACAATAAAGACTGTTTATGTGAGTATCGTTTGCTTCATTTTATTGTTGCAAACAGCGTAAATTCCTTTTGCTTTTCTTCCTTTAGTTTTGAACTTTATGTGTGGCAACAAGATAATTGATTGATAGAATTGTGTTTGTGACAGCCATGTAGAATTGCTCGCTTATTTTGTATCAATTATTTTGCATCGCTGACAAGTGTAATTTAATAAAAGTGTAAGAATATAGTCCATTTTTTGATTGATTATAGTTTGTGAAACATATTAAGTTTAATAGAACACATATTGTTGGTCAAAAGTCTAGCCGGAGAGCTAGTGAAGATAGTGACTGTTTCTAAGTGTATTCTAACAACGCAAATATGTATATGGTTTGTGAAAATTATCCACTTTGTGAGGTAAGTGGATTTTGAACAAAAATTCGTTTAATTTGTTGTTAAATTTTAAGAAAAAATGTTGTAATACAACATAGAATTCGATTTCATTTTAATAATAGTGTTAAGTGATTTAAGAACAATTTCTGTTTTTGAATTGATCAATTATGAGTGAACTTATAACTTTTAAAACAAAAAGAGCGGTCTTACGCAGGAGTGTTACTAATTATGTAAAGAAATTGAAACTATTTTAACTGCAGATGAAATTAATTTAATAGAACTAGAGGAATGTGTCGAATTATTGAAACAAAAAGAAACTGAGTTAAGGAAGCTTGATTCTGAAATCGAAAAGTTTAATTACAGATACTAAAGAATTAGAAAACGAAATAGATAATGTTCAGGAGTACACAGATAAAAATTTATTTGTGGAAATTTAAAGGTGAAAAAAATATTAAAAAATCAAAATAATAAAAATAATTCTAATAGTGTAATTTCAGAACAGGTTCTTGACAATATTAAATTACCCAAGTTAACATTACCGACTTTTGGTGGTAATATTACAGAATGGATAGCTTTTAAAGATCTTTTCAGTCCTTGTGTAAGAAATAATACAAATTTATCTAATGCTCAAAAATTGCAGTATTTGAAGGCTTCGTTGAAAGGTGAAGCATATCGCATTATTCAAACCATTCAAATTTCGGATTGTAATTTTGAAATAGCATGGAATCTGTCAGACGAAAGATATTCAAATAAGAGTGAGAACAAATTTTTGCATATATTAAACGTTTTTTAAGCTTTACCAACTATTCAAAATGAATCAGCATTTGCTATTTTAAATTTAGTTGACAATATTAATGAAGTAATTCGTTCTTTAGAAGTATTGAATCAAACCATTGATAATTTTGGTGACACTTTTAATGACTTATTTTGCAATTTTGCAAAAATTTAGACCCTTCTACAAAATTATGGTGGGAACGTCAGTTAAAATCTAATGAAATTCCAAAACTTACGACTTTAATTGAATTCCTAAAAAACTATGCAAGAACACTTCAAAATAGCAAAGTCAACAAGTAATAAGGTACCTAAATCTGTGTTTCAAAATAAGAATAATGTTCTGGTTGCTACTTTGGGTTGTGGTTAT